GGCATATTTTTCTTCTTTGCAGAATTTTAGACAGAGGTTGCTTTAATGGATGACCTTATTTTTTTAATGCAGATGCTGTCTTTCACTTCGTTTTCAGTTTCTTTTATCTGTTTTATAGTCTACTGCCTTGAGGCTTGGAAAAGTAAGATGACAATGTTTTAAGCAAAATAAAATTTTAAAATGTAGCTTTCTGTAGATCAATCTATAATCATCATTGTTAGAGGCTAAATACAATACTTTCCCCATCAAACAGAAAATAACAAGATTGTTTTGTAAATCAGGTTTGACCCATGTATTTTTCAAGATGGCATAAGGGCAGTGACCCACTTTTAGAATGTGACATCACTTTAATGCATTTTGGACTCAAGATACAACTTTTGAACAAGGTCACACATGCTACGTATAAAAATTCCTCTTGCATCTTAATATGGTGCTATTTTCTTATGCTAGCACTCTTACACATGAAACAATGTATCTGCATGAAGCAAGGATCACTAGGATCATAAGCTGCACCATCATAACCTTTTAAATCAGAGGATAAAAATGCTTAAGTCAAAAAGCAATGGAAATGTAAGCCACAAGAACCAGAGTACTTGTTTTTTATGAAGTCTACAGAAACTAAATACTGAGTACAGTGCTGAGAATATGAATTTGTCTTAGTCATAAAAAACTGGAGAGAAAAAAAATTCTATTTCTACATTTGCCAGTGAAGCAAAAAATTGGTTCTCAATTTTGGGGGGCCCATCTGTTGTTGCAGTACACCTACCAGAAGCCCTGACCACTGACCATGTTGGCTGAAGTTTCTTGGGAGTTGAGGTTAAACAATACTTGGGACCCAAGGGTATGGTGCTGAACACTCTAATAGCCATAACCCCTTACATCCGGTTATGCCTGCTATAACGTCCAGAAGGTTAAGTCCGGAACATTTGGAATGTCACAAGTTCACCATCTCTATTCCAAGAGTATATGAATATTAAATCCTTTGTTACCTGAGGACATGGTCCATTCCTAAACTGTGATGTCAGGCTGGGTAGAAGGGATCATCACAGGATTTCACAAAGCTGTCCTATGGGCTTCTCTTTCCAGTACTGCTGGAATGTTACTGTTAGGTCCATGTATGGTGAACTGTCACAGTCACTTGGAATGAGCTATTTTTACTCCAGGTTCAAATAATTTGTGTGTTACTTATCAATCCATTTGCATGTGGGCAGTTATCATACCCGTAACACTGCGTGAAAAAAGTGGAAACCCTGTAAAATCTATTATGACTTCATTCACAGAGGAACCAAATGGGGGAAAAATATTTCTCTGCTGAGATGTAAAGCATCTACCTTGGTTCAGAAAGTGAAAAACTAATCAGGTAACAATAAGCAAAATAATTCCCTTGATTAAGGATTATACTCTACCTAGTCAGAATACTGCTGAATCTTACTTTGTACCTCTTTCTAAATACAGCAGTGGATTTTTGAATGTTAAAAAACACAAAACAAAATACAGGTAACTGGAATACTCCCCATTTTATTGAACTTGACATTGATGTGTATGTCTTTTGCTTCATGCTCCCACAAAACTTTAAATAAATTGGCTTCCCTGTTGTTGAAACATTACGCTGAAGATACATATCGCTGTATGACCTGAGCTATGGAATTTTCAGCCACAAGATGTGATGATGGCCATTTGTTCAGAAGAGAATTAAAGAAACTGATGAGTAGGTGGATCAATGACAAACAGCCATGATAGTCATATCCTACCATTAGTACCAGTCATTATGTCTCTGAATACTGATTGCTGAACAATGAAAGGAGAAGGGTACTGTACACGTTGTACTTTGGGGCTTGCAAGGGAATGAGGCTAGTCATTGTTGTGAAACAGAATGCTGGACCAGGTAGTTTCTTGCTTAGATTTAGCAGAACAATTCTTAACACTGAATACACTTCCTATTCTCCTGATGCGTTTACAGTCTTCATCTACTATTAAATATATTAATTATAATTGTGTGCCGTCAAGTCAATTCTGACTTATGGCAACACTTTTCAGGATTTTCTAGGTAGAGAGTTCTCATAAGTCGTTGACCATTCTTCTTGGGGTGACCTGGGACAGGGCAGCTTGCTCAAAGTCACACGGGCTGGTTCTTCGGAGAAGCACAGCAGAGAACTGAACTCCCAACCTCTGCCTTCTCAGCCAGATATCTTACTGACTGAGCTAGCCAGCTGCTACCCTTCCTCTATTCCAACACTGCCTGCCAAACAAACAAATAACATGTTCTTTGAACAGATACAAGACAGTTTATTTGTTAGCAGATAATTATTAGATTCAAAAGCTGCTAGCTGGTCAGCTCTTTTGGAAAATTTCAATCAGTTACTGAACAACTACAAAAGTGGCATTAATATTTTTATTTTCTTTTTAAACTTGCAAGTGTTACAATCTTCATGAAGTTTCAAAGTGAAAACTGCACAATATTCTTGGCGCAACATCAATAGAAATGTTTGTTCACAAGTAAAGGAGGGCAGGCCATTAAGATGTAACTTTGCTGCCAAAGCACTCATTGATTACTTTTGCTTACACCAGTAATACTGAACAAAATTAAAACTTTGTTATATGTAACATTTTCTTATTGTTCAAACAAAACCTAACTCAAAGGACTTATACATACGCATACCACAAAACACCTTTTAACACAATACATACACAATTGCAAAGGTTAACAATAAAAGGTATCTCTCCCCTAAGATAGACAAATGTATAATTTCAAAGACTATCAATAAAATAATCTGTTCCCCAAAATGCTGTTTGAAATTGGATTATGCATAGGCAGTGCTTGGAAAACCAGGAAAAACTATGCAAATCTTTTATTATTGTCTACATTGATCTGAAAGTTTTGATGTTTCTGTAGGGCTGGTTTTACTACCTCTTCTTTCCTCCCTCCTTCTGTTGAAACAATAGCATTGTGGACATTGCCGGAACATGGCCCAATATATTTTGGTGTGACACTGAAAATCCAAATGTAAAAAATGTAAAAATCTAACTGTATAACCAGGGCCTTCCATGGTCCTAAAAACTCTGTTGCCTGAAACTGGACACTGCCATGTGAGGATTGGAGGAGGCTTGCTGAATATGAATTTATCTCAAGACACTTCATACTTGGGCATAAACGGCAGACTGCATGTTTTTTGCTCTTGGTGTGTTCAAATAATTTATTCTTTTTTTGGGAGAGGCTAGGGCCTTTGAACTTCAGGAGAGAAAAATAAGATTTTTACCAAACCTCTTTTTACCCTCACTAACTCTATTAATCTCTTCATTTAACAAAAACTTGCCACATCACTTTGTTTCCATTCAGCCTGACTTTCCATAATACCTTTCAATACCAGCCTGGGTTTCCACAATACCTTCACGAGAGTGCAACTACGTTATTTATTGTGCAGCAGAGCAAATGAGCATTTTAAATGGCAATTCTAAAGATGGAGGCGGCCCCTCAACCCAAAAAAGTAATTCCTCTGTGCCAAATCTGGGGAAGTCTGGATAAAGAGTTTTTGAGTTAGGATTTTTAAAAAGTAAATCGGTTTGAAACTCCCCCCCCGCCCCCAATTCAGAAATAGGCAAGCCCAAACGTCTCCAGTTTTAATGCAAACCACATAAATAAGGAACTAGCTAAAAAACAGCCATGACAATTGTTTTGTATTTGGGTGAGAACTGGTTAATTGATGAAAAAAAGAAATCAGCTTCTGGTATTTTGCATTATGTGGTATTCACTTTGTGAATGGTAGCAAGCACAAGAAGGTATCCTGTAGTAGTAAACCATCTTGACTGTTAACATGAGTGTCGTCAACATTTAGGCTGCACTTTGTTTTATAAAGTTTTGTATCCTTCCTCCTGCTGGCAATACGGGTGCAGTATTGTGTAGCAATATTGGGCCATTTCCTGGAGTTTTGAATCGTGGATACAGAAGCACAATATCTCGTATTCATAAATTCATTTCTTAAGCATTATGGGATTGAGAACAGATTGTTTTATTTCTCACCTTTCTCTCAATACAGAAACCCATGGTAGATTGCAAAACGATTAAAGAACAGTCAGCTAAATATCTTATGTTCACAAACTCAAATGATAACCTTCTTATATCAAAACTAAGTCAATGCCTGAGATACCAAGATGTTACTTTGTATTAATGGACAAATAAATTCACTGATTGATATTTTTTCGTTGGTAACATCTTTGCTCATTCCATAATTTAAAAACAGCTTGTTAATATTATTTGTTACACTACTCAAAGAGAAATCTACTACTAAAATACTATAGTTGAATCATTACAACATGCATTGAAAAATACAAAATTTGACAAGTATCCTTCAAAATGACCCCCATCAAAGTTACAAAATAATAAGTAAAGAATACTTATTATATTGAAAAATTAATAAAATTAACTGCCTTTTAAAAAGTAACAAAAATGGTAACATCTTCAAACAAAAAGTTACATGTTACAACTAGTACCACCATTTCTGACATATAATGTCCCAGGTTTGAATATATTCCCGTGCCACAGAGGAAACAAAGGGAGCCTACCCTCAAGCCATGAACTCATAATCATAATGCCATCCATTAATAACAATTCAGCTTTCTAAAAGCACTTTTATGTAGTCCCTCCATACTAACAAAACAGCTTCAATTCTCATCTTTTTTATATATTGCAAACCAGAACTTTAATGAAGGGGTTAAAGCAATCCGGGAAACAGATTTAACCAATGCTTCAACCATTCTAAAGAGGAACATACTATTTCAGGTGAAAGTGGCTTTTCAGAACAGCTCTGGGTGTGCAGGATGTGCCTGCACAGAGGCTTCTTGGTGACAGTTGTTATCTCGCTAAGAAGCACCAGCAAGCAGCCTTCACAGTACTCACTTTACTATACTGGCAACTTCAGTATTTTATGCATATACCTTTGAAAAAGTGATTAATGGACTTCATTTTAAAATGCTGTTAGCTAACACAAATAGATTCACCTTACCTTTATGATACAAAAAGTCCAGACTTCAAAAGCCTTGTCTGTAAAAAGGATCATCTTCGGTAATTATCAAATATATCCAATAATATATGATATCCATGAGAACCTAGATAAATGAAGAACTGCCAGTTAGAATGGTTACGGGGTAATAGGAGTTAGACAAAGTTCAATCGCTTTGTTGATATCTTACAAGACAATAAACATTCACGAGCATGGGTTTTCTTCACTGAAGGCAGATAGACTGCAATCCTACTACTGTACCTTCTTTTAATACTAAATAAATGGCATTAATGGGTAAAGTAAAATGCTCAAAACACACATGGCTAATTTCCTACACAATTTAGTGACCTACAGTTCAGGCAGCACTTCTGATCAGGCAAAGTGTGAAGTATTCAACTGCTATTGAAAATAGGTGCAAGCATAAAAATTAAAAGCCTGTCAAATATCAAAATAAAATAAAACCACTAATGTAGGTTTGTCTGTATTGACACCACTACTGTTTCTTTCATGACAATGGTTCAAACAATCTTCTTTAATTGTAATGTTTACATTCCTATGTTCATCAGCCATCTAAAATCATCTTTCATCAATATGACTTACATCCACAGGTGAAACTGTTCCATATAACTGGCACAGAAAAAGATTTTTCTCCATCACACAAGTGTTCCTTTGGGATGTATATGCCACTCATTAACAATCTTTAAACTACTCTTAATAACTGCCATTAAGGTCTATATTTGCCACTTCTACATGAGTGTAATAGACCCCTGACAAGCACTTTTTGGACCATCAACATTGGTGAGACCCTTTGAGTTTTTATTACATTTCATCCATAACCCTCTGCCCTGACACATGTGTAAAAATACCTGCTGGCAGAATTTATTTATTTATTTATTTGATTTATATCCCACCCATCTGGTCTGGTCAACCACTCTGGGCGGCTTCCAATAAGGTGTATACGATAAAACATAAGAATTTTACGAACAGTCCATAACACATACAATAATAAAACAAATAATAAATGAAAGAAAAAATAAAGAAAGAATTAAATATTGATAGGAGGGAAGGCCTGAACATACAACCATGTTTTTAATTGACTCTTAAAAGTGCCCAGCGTAGGGGCCGCACGAATAACCGGAGGAAGGTTATTCCAGAGGCAAGGAGCCACCGCCGAGAAGGCCCGGTTTCGTGTCCTTTCCTTCTGGGGCTCCCTCGGCGTTAGGCTCCTCAGCCTCACCTCCTGGCTCGTG